AAGTGCAGGTCAGTTTCATCTGTAAATATGCTATTGTAGTTTTGTCTTTGTTTACTTAGTTAAGCAGCAGCAGCCCATTGCTCATCAATCATCACTCAAAATACTGTATAAAGGACATCATTATTATCTATTGTAATGTTACAGTAGTCCTTTAGCAGACAAATGATCATATTTATAATAGGTTTAGGGTGAGCTAGGGCAGACAACAACACAAGCCTTACGAAAATTAACAATGATTTTACTATAAATCCAAAGACAATGGTTACTATTGTTAAACCATGGTAACCATAAATTACCCATGTTTTTTGCTACACTAACCATAGTTTAACCATGGAATTTGTAGTAAAAATAAATACAAATGGTTGTCCATTTGCCAAAAAAAAACAAAAAAACATGGTTTCTGTACTTGTACTATAATTAAAGCATGGTTAATTGTTATAAGGGAAAAACATGACTCATGTTCAGTAGGATTTTTATATAAAAATATTGTAGTGATGTACTAATTTTGACATGTAGGCAGTTTAGAAAGTATAGTTTTGTTAAATCTTGAGTATTAAAGTCATGAGAGAGATAGATATCAGGGCAAAATAAAGAAAAATGGAAGTGAAGGTGTAGTTCAGGAGAGAACTTTTAATTATTTTGCATGTCCCCAACCTAAGGATTTAAACCTTTTTTTATGTGAGGTCCATACAAAAAATAGGGTTGTCCATGTTTCAGAATTTATTGTGGGTGTATGAGTGTGAGATTTCCCGGCATTAAATTTTTTTCCCAGTCCGCCCCTCGTGGAAATTAATGGCACAGACATGCGGTTTAATTTACTACACATAGGCCTACTGAAGCTCGCAGTGTTTGCAGCCTCTGCCACCTCAATATATGAGTACATGAACACATAAACATAATCTCTAGAACTGCTCTGAGTCACTTCATGAGCATTTTTGAGAAAACTATCATCATATCATATATACAAAGAGAAACCAATGTTTCAGGAGTTTAGTACACAGAATAGGACACATGCTTATTAGATAACCGTATTTGAGTTGATGTATATGCTTTTATTTATTATTATTTTTTAATTAACTTTATTTTCCAAACCATTGTTAGATGCAGTGTTTCCTGTAGTTATGCAAAGATTTGGTTTCAAAAACAGTATCAGTAAACTATTTCTTATGATTTTAAATCTGCATTGAACTTCAGATCAATCTCAAAGTAAAAGGCGGTACTAAAGTTTGATTTTGTGGTGGATGTGTTCAAATTTGACCATCTTAATTCAAGTGATGAAGGATTTTGAAAGTTTGGTGTGTGTGTGTGTTTACAATTATTTTATTTGTAAAATAAATATTTTGAAAAATGCAGGTTTTTCGCATAATGCTTTCGATTCAGTGTTTTATAACAAAGTGGTTAAAAATCATTTCTTACAAAAGTTATTAAATTGTCTGCATGTTGTGTGTATTTATTTATTTATTTAAATATTTTGTTAAACAATGTTGTCTATCATTATGCTTAACATTATTGTGTCATTATGTAGTGTTTCAAAACTCATAAAATCATACTTATAAAAGTCATAAAATTGCCTGCATGCTATTTTATTAATTAATTTTGTAATTTAACAATTTTTAAACCATTTTATTAATTTAAACAATTGTATCAATAAATTAATCATCATGCCGTTTGTTCAGTGTTTTATTAGCTGTATTCAGTGTAAATGTACTATGTGTAAACAGGTTGCTTGCTCCATAATTGAGCTCCGCATGGTTTTTATGTCAGAAAAACAAATCTAATTAATTTTCTAAATGATACAATCTTATTATTATCCAAAAAGTTTGACTGTGGTGCTGTCTTCAGAGTAGCTTTCCACAAGTATGACAGCTAAAATGAAAGATTTAAAAATTTCATTTGAATCTGGTGCAATAATTCTCAGAACATCTTAGATGAGTGCTGTAACTCGCGGCGTATGAAACTAGGATCATTAAAGTGCTAAAAGACATCAAGAACATTGTGAAGATCTGGTCATTCCTTATTTCACTCAGTCTGTAGTTTCGCTGCTCTCATTTTTGAAGTCTTTGAAGTCTTTCCCGTGCTGTTCATGAGACTGTTAAGTTATCACACACACACTCTCTCGCCTTTGTTGTGTAGGTCAGTGTCCGCAGATGCCACAACAGATGCCTTCAAAAATAACATCACCCTGTTCACACGCATCCTGGACCGCCTACTGGATGGCTACGACAACCGGCTGAGACCCGGACTGGGAGGTGAGTTGGTAGTGTCTGAATTAAATGGCTTGCCTTTGGTATCCTAGTAAAGATAAAGGATGTCGTAATGAAAGCACATATGAAGGCTGAGATCATCTCTGCTCTTCTCCAGAATCCAGTTTATCTTTCCGCAAGCATCACTAAATCTGTAGCATAATGGATTTGTACAAAGACCTTCAGTGCATTCGGATCTAGCTTATCTCTAGTGGTTTTATCAGTGTAGTTTGTGTCAGATGTTGTGATGATGAAGGCAGGAACACATTATAGTGCTTATGGTGACAACAGAAGTACATTAGCCCGGATTAAAGAGAGATACTGAGTACCTGTTTTTATTGATTTGTGTGGTCATGTACGCGGTGCTATTATAAAGCAGATATCTATTGACTGGCATAAAAGAAGGCATTTTTCAAATGTTTTGTCACTACTTAAGTGTCACTGACATTTTTCCATTAGTGGGTTAGTTTAGCTAACAAAGGCCACAACGATATGCAGGATTTCACTGAATCTTATGGATTTGTCTGCCGCTGTAGTCATTCATACTTTAATAGGCGTAGAAGCTCACAGCAGTATCATAGAAAAGAAAATCAAATGAAAATCTCTTTAATGTCTCCTAGACATCAGTGAAATTAATGGAGACTTTCGCTGACATTTTTCTTTCCTGAGAAAAAGACCCCTGTAATCTCACTTTTGGGGTTTTAGAGGAGATTGCAATGTCTCAAATTGTGTTCAGTCTGCAATCAAAAGTCAGATCTCATGGACTTTTGATGGACTTTCTCATCAAATTCTTCCAAGACCAAATGATCTGAACTACTTTTTGCCTTCTAGAACAGATCAGTTTACTAGTATTAGGGAGCCTGATTCATCCCAGTAGCCGGGTTCATTTGAATCATTTGATTATTTTGAATGGCTTTATTAATTACAATTGTTAGATTCACTTAAATAGTTTGATTCATTTGAAACCCTGATGAATTTGATTCAGTTCACCAAAAATATTAATTCAACTAATAAAACCAGAAATTGGTGCATCACATTTTGAACCCCATTCACTCAGTGCTACTTGAGCGAGATGAGACAAACCATTTGGCCTGCAAATTTCAATTTTATTTTTAAAAATTCAATGTTTTATTATTTGAAAAAAAAAATTTATTTGAAGATCAGGGAAAATTGTACTTATTTTGTATTCTGAGAAACATGTAGGTATCTTCTGTAGCTTCTGAAGATGCAGTACTAAATGGGAAAAAAAATAAAAATAAAAAATAAAATAAATATATTAATAATAATCTTGATTTTTCGTTGCTAATATTATTGTTGGATAATCATAATGAATGTGGGAAAAACTAGTTTAGCTTAATTTTTTTGTCCTTAGCTGATCAAAAGCCTGTGAAATAAATATATATATATATATATATATATTTAAACAAGAAAAATTGACACCTTCATCCTGTTCAAAAGTTTTCACCCCCGGCTCTTATTAATCCATCATGTTTCCTCATAGTTGCGTATGAGTCTCTCAGTTGTTGTCAGTGTAAAAAGATCTCAAAAATCATACACTCACAGCTGGAAATGGGTCAAATATGCAAAAGATGCTGGAAAACCAAAGAAGTTAAGGGACCTGGAGAATGTTTCTGAAGAACAGCAAGCAGTTTAACTGTTCAGAACAAACAAGGGACTCCTGAACAATCTTCACAAAAACTAAATAAATAAAATTGACAGCACTAAATTTTTTAATTTTTTTTGTGAAGATTGTTCAGGAGTCCCTTGTGTGTGTGTGTGTGTGTGTGTGTATACACATACACACACACGCTGTACACACATAGGGGTAGGACAAAATGATATGCAGATTATGCACACCCATCATTATAGGGGTCAATATAATTTTTGTAGGCTAACATTAGAAAAAATGAAAATGAGTTATTTTTTGTTATCTACATTCTTTAAGTTGTATAACTGTATAGCATAAGTTGTGCTCAGCAGCTGTTAGTACAAGTGGTCAGTGAAATGGTGGCTTGTCAGACATCCAAAAAGCCCATTTAGCAGGAGGGTATGTAACCTTAATAGCTACATTTTTTGGTGTTTTAAGAATAACAGTCTTTACAATTATGACTGCGTACACAAAGCATAGCAAAACTTGACAGTGAAAAAGAAAAGTTAGCAAAAACTGAAAGTGATTGATGGGGACTGTCAAACACTTAGAAGGATTTTGTCCAAACGACACAGAACTACTGCAGCAAAGAGACAGCAAACCTCAATATCTCACTCAAATACCAACCACAGCGAATCCAATCCATAAAAGAGCTGCAATTGCTAAAAATCACAAACACCAGTGTTAAAATGTGAAAAATATGGTGACATGGTCATAAAACCTGAACAGCTGGACTGTCCCTCCTCCAACAATTTAAAATAAGTTAAAATGTAATTTATTCCTGTGATGCAAAGCTGATTTTCAGCATCATTACTTCAGTCTTCATTGTCACATGGCAGTGACATACTGTATGTGCGGTCATTTCAATTTTACAGAAAATATACCAAAATTATACAGAAATTAAACATAGCTGCAGAAAGGTATTAAATTGCATGAGCAATAAAACATTCTTCTAGGCAAGTAAGGGCCTTCACGGTTTCGTGTTTAGAGCTCAAAGGAAGTTCAAGCTGGTCTTAGCATATTAAAGAACCAGCTGGTATAAAACTTACCTACCGCTGACACTTTGGTGATGATACGAGAGCTTGAAAAGACAAAGTAGAATGAATAAGTAATACCGTTTCGGCCGTTCAAAGACAAGGTGCATATTTTCAGGAGAGAGGAGGGCTGACTCTTTTCATCTCTTCACATCCTTTGAACAGTTTTTAACGGTACGGTTGAATGAGCTGTTTGCACTCGACACATGTTGAATCTCAATTCTCTTCTGGTCCTTTCAGTCGCTCTCTCTCGGCTCAGTTTTAACCCATGACCTTTGACCCCAGGTCTGCTCAGACCGGCTCATTAATCCTGAGGTCAAGGGCTGGGTTGATTGTTCATGTTAACTGAGTGAACGGCCTCGCACCATTACTGTGATGACGCTCGATGCTAGAGGTTATTCATTCACGGTCAAAGATTTGTTTGTAGGTTTCTAGCAGCATCCTGTCAACATTTTATTAAAAAAATCAATAATTGAATCAATTACTTGGTCACAAGAATTACTGTTACTAGTCACATGTTTTGCAAACCTCTGGGTTTTCCAGACACGTGCATATTTTGGTACCATCTGTCTCCATCATAGTGCTCTTGGAGTAATAGTGGTGTTTCATTTGTTTGTTTTTGAGTCGTTCATTCGTATAATTCAGCTGAACAGATTCTCGAAATTAGTCGGAATGATTCATAAGCAATTCATCTGAGAGAAAATGTATATTTTTAAAACACTTTACAATTAGTTAACATTGATTAATACATAAACATTAACAATGAGCAGTAAATGTTTTACAGTATTTATTAATCTGTTTTAATGTTACTTAATGTTCATTTAGTTCATGTTAGCTTCAGGGTTAGTTAACTAAAACCATTAAAGCCCCGTTCACACCAAGAACGATAACTATAAAGATAACAATATTAGCGTCCACACCAGCGAACGATATCGTCTGTTTATTCTAAGCGCATGTGCGTCTGCCGCTTTAAATTCTCGAGCATGTTGTAGCAGGATGTATCGTTTGTATCGTTCATCAGCTGGGAAAAAATCGTTCTGGAAGTGATTCCAACGATATCGTTTCTCTGTGCCTTTATCGTTATAGTTGTGGTGTGGACTCTGCTATTCTTTAATATTGAGAACGATTTTTAGATCTATATCTTTATCATTATCTTTATAGTTATCGTGCTTGGTGTGAACGGGCCTTAAATCATTTTCCTTACTTTAAATAAAAGTAAAATGAGATCAAATTAAATATGTATTTTATTTCAGCTCATTTTATTTAGATTAAATTGATGTATTAAGATAACTAAAATTGAAATAAAAGTGAATACAAATTCTACAGACATATAAAAATAAGACAAAGTAAAAACAAAAAGCACACTACAAAATTGCTAAAATTAAATTGAAAAAAAAAACTAATTAAAAAATATTAATAAAATAAAATAATATACTGTATATTAAGTATCATTAAATAATATTGAAGGGGTCCTATTATGATCTTTTACAAAGGCTTGATTTTATTTTGGATGTGTACTAGAACATGCTGTCATACTAGGTTGTTCGAAAAACACATTATTTTTCACATATTTTACATTATTACAACACCTCTCTCCCCAGTCTGGCATGAACGGCTTGAGTTATAGTTCCTGTATCAAATGAAGGCCCGCCTTCTGAAATACAAAATGGGCTGTGATTGGTTAGCTGGGCCAGTGTGTGTTGTGATTAGCAGCACTCGGCACCTGGTCGGGAAATGTCATGTCCCTTACCATAGCCGCCTGCTGCGAGCTTCAGTGTAAATATTGCGTCAAAATAAAATCAATTTGAGCGTGATTTAAACCCAGATGATTGTAACCACTCTAAGTTCCTCTGCCTTGGGAAAGCTAGCGTGTCTCCGACATAGTGATAACACTCATTGCCTTCTAGTGCAGTTCAACCAGGTCTCGTCCCATCACAAATCCCGTAAAATATGTGTTGTAGTCCAAACGAGTCGTTCGTTGTAGTTTTTGAAAAGTGATTTCTGTTAAATAAAATATCTCCTTCTGAATGAGACTTTAAGCTTTGTAACTTTGCAGATCTTTTTTATGTTCAAACAGCAACATTACAGACTAACTAAAGTTGAAAAAGTGAAAAAGCAAAATAGGACCCCTTTAAAAGACACAACTGTTAACTAAAACCATGAAAAAAAATTGTCATTATACATAAAATAAACATCACCTAAAAGAAAAATAATTCAACTAAAAATAAAATATTAAATAACCATTGCAAATTGAAAATTGGAAAATTAACTATTACGAACTGTACAGACATAATAATAATAATGACAAATTATATTAAATATTAA